TTATATTGTTGTTCTTCTAAAACATATTTATCTAAACCACCAGAGTCCTTGCAAAAAATCTTCCTCAAAAACTTGATGCGACTCTATGATTTTATTCATGTGGTAGCCAAAAGAGAAAAAAAGAAAAAAAGAAAGAAAAAGGGTAGGTCAGCTTGTTTGGCTTATCCTTACGAACTTCAAGTGTTTGAACTTTGAACCTTTCACCTCCATGACCCAAACTTGAATATGTACAGCTCTAGTTAATTCCCTCGCCTAAAAGAAGCTCTACCACTTCTATGGCATTGTTGTTAACACTCCTAACAGGGATGGAAGCAGCCATCATAGAGACTTGTTGATCAACATTTAGGATACTCCTTGTCCCCTCGAACCCCACATGAATACTAGCTTCCTCCTTAGTAGTTAATCCTGATATATTTTGGTGGGAGTCTTCACATTTTGGTTTTTGCCAATGTTGAACAACCCAGCTGAGTCCACTCGGACTCAACCGAGTTATTTGGCCTGGGCCAGTGGTCGAGGAGAATACCCCCATACCCACTCGGGTACACAGGAAAACACAATTTCTCTCTCTCTCTCTCTCTTTCTCAAAAGGGGGCAGATTCGCCCCACCCCCTCCCTGCCTTTTTCCATCTCCCTCTCTCTCTATCTGAAAGGAGGTTGATCCAACCCCCCGATTCATCTATTTCTCTCTCAAAGGGGGTTAGAAATCGTCTCCCTTTTCCTCTATCTCGATATCCTTCCCCTTCGTTAAGATGAATTGCTTTGTCAAGAACAACCTCTAGGCCCCTGATTTCAGTACCAGCAACAATCCGCTGGGGTTCCTCACATAGTTCGGAACCTTTCAACCAAGGTTGCAATTCCAATTTGGAATCCCGATTTTGCAATTTTCGACAAGGAATCTTTACGGAAACTAATTTGGTAAAGCTAGGAATATAATTCCTTATTTTAGAAATCTATATTCCGACACTTATAGAATACTGTTTCTAATATTTATTAATTCTCGATTTTGCAAATTTCGAATCTCGGTTCTACATTTATTGAATATGGATTCCACGTATATTAATACTTGACATGTTAGAAACATGATTTCAAAGATATCGGAATCCCGTTACCATATAGGTCGTCAAAATTTGGTTCTAAAGAGGACAAAATCTCCATTCTATATATGTAGGGATCTTGATTCCATTTAGGTCGAATCTTGATTCTTATAAATAAGGAATCTTATTTCCTACATTTCCTCTTATACAGATGTCGATTCCGAAAGCGAAAATCTTCTTTCGCAATTCTGATTCTTAAAATGATTCACAATCTCAAACAACTATGGTTCATCAACGGAAAGAGGGGAAGTATCTTTTGATTGCCTCATAGGCAGAGCATCATTCAAAGTAATTTTGTTTGCATGTTGTTCTTCCATGCAAATTTCTTTTCTTCCCGTGTTCAGGCAAACATCTAAGTTTTCACTTGAATGCTCAGCACCATTAGACTCTAAAAGAGCAGCTGGGATTTTCTTCTTTATACTAAGATAAACAATGCTCTAGATTGGTTCTATTCTTCAAAAACAGATTCTAGTCTTTTGCATCAGCATTGCCATTGATGTTACTTGATTTATGGGGCTCTTGCTCTCCTCAAAGTTCTATATACCCTTTCTATTTTTTTATTTTTTCAATGTGTACACTACTCGGCCAAGTCTACTCGGATGAACATTGGACGTTTAGTAGGATGACTCATATGGGTTTTAAACCTCTTGTTGTTTGGCTTTCGACTTGATTTGTGATTCTGTCTAAGCCATGAAGACCTACCAATGGTGTGGCAAACCATTATACAATACCTTTTTTAACTAGGCTCATTACTTCTTTCCACCAACGATTTTGAACATATCATTTCTAAGATTTTTTTAATCTTATTGAGGGATCAAATATATGAGCCACACTATAAAGTTGTGGGAGGGAATGATTAAGCAATGACAATGCATGAAGCGTATGTATCAGAAAATCAATTAGGTTTTATGTTAGTGCGGTCAACAATTGAGGCTATTTTCCTACTTAGGCAATTGATTGAGAAGTTTAAGACTTAAGAGAAAAGACCTCGACATGATCTTTATTGATCTAGGGAAAGCTTATGATATAGTGCACTGAGAGTTAATTTGGTGGATATTAGGAAAGAAATGAGTCTCCAGATACTATATCGACTTGGTGAGAGATATTTATGAGAGAGCACTAATTAGTGTGTGAACAACTAGTAAAGAGACGAGTGAGTTTTTAGTGACAATAGGTCTACATCTAGGGTCAGTGTTGAGCCCATACCTCTTTATGGACGACTTAACTAGGCACCTGCAAGATGATTTATCTTGGTCTATGTTATTTGCGGATGATATAGTTTTGATCGATGAGACCCAAAATGGTGTCAACACAAAGATAGCATTTTGAAGGGATGCTCTAGAATCTAAAGGTAAATTAGTCTGACAGTCTATGGAATGCAAGTTTAGTTAATAAGAAGTAGTTACGATTGACGACCACGAAATACCAATACGAGCCCACTATCGATATCTTAGGTCGATAATCTAGGAAAATGAAAATATTGAGGAAGACGTCGCATATAGAATTTGAGCTAGGTGGGCGAAGTGAAGATGTTCAACCAGAGTTTTATGTGATTCCCGAGTACCAATGAAGCTGAAGAAGATGTTCTGTAAGACAGTTGTGAGACCAACTTTGCTATGGGGCACATTGTTGGGCGGGCAAGAAACAACATATGCATAGGATGAGTGTAACTGAGATGAAGATGTTGAGATGGATGAGTGGCAACTTCGCCCATTCATTGGCAAGTTTGTAGTGGTGTATATTGATGATATCTTCATTTGTATTAAAAGCGTTGATGAACATTTGTTGCATTTACAGGAGGTGTTGGAGGACCTTTGAAAAGAAAAGTTGTTTGTAAACCTAAAAAAAGGTTCATTTTTTACTAATAACTTAGTATTTTTGGGTTTTGTTATGGACTGACCGACACCCAAAACAGTAACTGATGTGAGAAGTTTTCATGGTTTAGCAACATTTTATAAGAGATTTATCAGAAACTTCAACAGCATAATAGCACCCATAACTGATTGCAAGAAGAAAGGGATGTTTGAGTGGACTTTGGTTGCTGAAAACTTCAAATTGGTGAAAGAAAGGATGACATGGGCTCTCCTTTCACTTCCAGACTTTGAATAGGTCTTCCAAGTAGATTGTGATGCCTCGAAGGAGGGAATTGGAGCTCCCCTAAGTCAAGGGGGTAGACCTCTGGCCTTCTTTAACGAGAAACTAAGTGTGGCAAAGATTAATTATGCTACTTACAGTGTGGAGTTCTATGCTATGGTTCAAGCCTTGAGACATTGGAGGCACTACCTCATCCAAAGAGAATGTATCTTATTTTTAGACCATGAAGATTTGAAGTATCAGAGTGCTCAAAAGAACCTAAATCATAGGCGTGCTGTGTGGGTCTCGTACTGACAAGAGTTTACTTTCTTAGTCCGCCACAAATCATGCGGCCAAAACAAAGTGGTTGATTCCCCCAGTCGGAGGTGTCTCCTCCTTAGTACTTTTGCCACCTCAGTTGTGGGGTTTGAGTCCCTACTTCAAGCTTATACTACTGACCCTTACTTCTCTAAGATCCTTTAGCAACTTGCCTAGTGTTTCAGAAAATGTTAAGTGCCGAAGCGGCCCGGGGGGGGTCCAGGCTGCCCAACGCCTAGGCGGGTATCCAGAACCTGGGCGGCTTAGTAGAAAGAAAAATGTTGCTATAGTCTAACAATATAGGTATAACGGTATAACACATAAGAGTAGGGATTAGGGCACATCAAATGTGTAAGACACAAGTCCACATCAAAATTTCACTAACTTTGATTGCTTGATCTCCAAACTTCCACCTCTAAGATACTTCTAAGGACTCAAAATCTTCTAAAAAACCATCTAATAGATTTAGAAAATATCCAAAACTAAATCTAATATCAA